CCGAACTTTTCCGGTGACCGTATGATAATTTCCCATATATATATCTTCACCTCCGGACCATTCTGGAACTCCTCGTGACGTCCGGGGTCTCATCCGGGACTCCGACCAACATTCAGTAATCACTTACAAGTCTTCCTAATAACCCTAGCGTCACCGAACCTTAAGTGTGTAGACCCTACGGGTTCGGGAATCATGCAGACATGACCAAGACAGCTCTCCGGCCAATAACCAACAGCGGGATCTGGATACCCATCTTGGCTCCCACACGTTCCATGATGATCTCATCGGACGAACCACGATGTCAAGGATTCAAGCAATCCCGTATATAATTCCCTTTGTCAATCGGTACGTTACTTGCCCGAGATTCGATCGTCGGTATCCCAATACCTCGTTCAATCTTGTTACCAGTAAGTCACTTTACTCGTACCGTAATGCATGATCCTATGACCAACCACTTGGTCACATTGAGCTCATTATGATATGATGCATTACCGAGTGGGCCCAGAGATACCTCTCCGTCATACGGAGTGATAAATCCCAGTCTTGATCCGTGTCAACCCAACAGACACTTTCGGAGATACCTGTAGTATACTTTTATAGTCACCCAGTTACGTTGTGACATTTGGTACACCCAAAGCACTCCTACGGTATCCGGGAGTTACACGATCGCATGGTCTAAGGAAATGATACTTGACATTAGAAAAGCTCTAGCAAACGAACTACACGATCTTGTGCTATGCTTAGGATTGGGTCTTGTCCATCACATCATTCTTCCAATGATGTGATCCCGTTATCAATGACATCCAATGTCCATAGTCAGGAAACCATGACTATCTGTTGATCAACGAGCTAGTCAACTAGAGGCTCACTACGGACATGTTGCGGTCTATGTATTCACACATGTATTACGATTTCCGGATAACACAATTATAGAATGAACAATAGACAATTATCATGAACAAGGAAATATAATAATAACCATTTTATTAGTGCCTCTAGGGCATATTTCCAACAAAAGGAACATGCCAAGGTATCAACAGTGCTTCGCAAAAGCAATATTAAAGCACCTAAACCCTCGAAACAAATTGAAGTAGAACCTAGTGTTACTATGGTTAAAGATCTTTTGGTCGATAATATTGATGGGCATGTTATTTACTTCTGTGCTGAAGCTGCTTCAATTGCCAAACCTGATGAAAAAGATAAACATAGACCTGTTATTGGCATGCCTGTTGTCTGAGTTAAAATAGGAGATCATTGCTATCATGGCCTATGTGATTTAGGTGCTAGTGTGAGTGCTATCCCTTTTACTCTATACCAAGAAATTATGAATGATATAGCACCCATTGAAATAGAAGACATAGATGTCACTATTAAACTTGCTAATAGAGATACCATCACATCACTTAGTATTGTTAGAGATGTTGAAGTCTTGTGTGGGAAATAAAATACCCCACTAGTTTTCTAGTTCTTGGTTCCCCATAAGATGACTTTTGTCCCATAATTTTTGGTAGACCTTTCTTGAACACTGTCAATGCTAAGATAAATTGCTATAAAGAAACAGTCAGTGTCAACTTTGGTGATGTGTCTCATGAGTTTCATGATACACCCCGGTCATCCACCAATGTCCACCACTCTTTGGCTTGACCAGGGCCGAGAGTGTGTTTGGTGTGTGATGCAGGTTCGGGAGCGCCACCACCATCTCATCCCATGCGATTAGAATCCCTCCACGAGTCCCCACAGCCGGCAGGTAATAAAAGCTTTCGAATTTATTGCCAAGGAAATGCCTACAATTTTAGATGACATGGTTTCAGTCTTTGTTTCTTGGAGGCAAACGATGGCCGGACTCGGCGCCTGAACCACCTGGAAGATAGCGTTACATCGTGTCGGCGAGTTCAAACCGCGCATGTTCCACACCAGTAACTTGTAGGGTTGTGTATCCATGGAACTGACCCACCATCCTCATGCAACTGCACGTCAGTGTCGTGCATCCACCTGTAGACCCTCCTCTTGCAGTGGGAGGGCTGATGCTGCCCAGCCAAAGAGGGCCAAAATCGCTGCAATGTGGCTGTTACTCAGAGGCTTGGAAAATAGGCCGACATATATCTGCAACGCCTCACCAGAAATCACCTCTGCCTCATTGGCCAAACATAGTCTGCAGATCAGGACGAGTTGCTATTTGGATCCTGCCAGGCGACAACCGGGCCCCTTTGCCGGGCGCAAACTTCTCCTTGGACCAGTAGTGCCTCTCCGCGTGTCCCAACTTGGCCATCATTATCAATAGAAGAATCCAGCCCATCAAAGTTGTCCCCATTGATATTTAAATCCCCTAATGTGAGCTCCTGTCGTGGCAGGCAGGTGGGGTCCGCCGCCGGGTCGCCCGACAGCAGCAGATCCTAGGAACCGATGGGAATGGTGCAGCTAGCACCCGTATGACCACTTTCTCTCCGTGTCGTGATGCGCGATGGCTGGCCAACCACAACTGCCAGCTCTGGCGTAGCCCACCTTATCCTTCTGTTGGGCTGGTTAACCGAGGCCGGCGACTGAGCAGGTGACGTCTCAGCCAATGCGAGCCACTACGAGATGCTTCTGGAGCCACAAGATGAAGCAGGTGGCGCTGGCCCGTCCTGACCCGCCATCACGCTTTGCAGGGTCCCGCTCTGCTCCATCCCGACCAGGCTTTCCACGTGTCCTCCTCTCACACGACCACCTATGCTTTTGCTAGGAAATCCACTTTGCCTTTCCACCTGGTCCACCACCAGGTTTGACCGCGCCTGCCCCACAGCTGGAGACTGCAGCGCCGGCGCATCTGCCACCGCCAGCAGCGATGGGGGGACGCTGATCGCCGGTGAGGACTGGGCTGACCCCGCCGAGCCAACCTCCAGGGCCAGCCGAGATGTATCTCCACCCTGTCTGCCATGTCAAGAACCACCCCCGTCGTCCTGGCCCTCGTCCTCGTTGTCCGCCAGGGGAGGAGGCGGTGGTGTGCGAGTCGACGCGGCCTCCCACTCTGGACAGAGCAGCGGGGCTTCTCGCATGATGTCCACCGGGTACCACAGGGAATCGATGCCCTCCACCCTACCACGAGTTTGCCGGCATCGCGGCTCCTCCACCACGAGGATGTGCCGGGGAGGAATCCGGGCCGGCTCGTCCGTCCTCAGCCAGACACGGAAGCGCGACATGTCATTCCACCGAGTTGTGCAGTCCGTCACCTTGACGACAAGGCCAATCCCACGCAGGACTTCCTGTGCCGCTCGCGTGGTCCACGCATTCGCCGGCACACCGACAAGGGCCAGCTGCACGAGGTATGGCATGCCAATGCCTATAGCATGCACCTGCCAACGCTAGGGCCGGAGCGAGAGCGAGACGCCCTCCGCCGTGGCTTGACCCTGATCCAGCATCCGATCACGAATCGCCCTGTTCCTGTAGAGGACAAGAAAATCCTCCCGTAGAAAGCACGGATGGACATGTCATGGGGCCGATGTCAAACTCCACATGCAGCGTGGCGGCCGTCGCCGCAAGGTCGATCCTTGGTCGAGGTCCAGAGATTGAGACCACCACCGCTCACTCCAACTCCTCTTCCAGAGCATGCAGGTCATCACCGGCCGCAAGGAAGCAGCAATCCACCAGTTCATCGAACACCAGCGCCACATCGACCGACCCCTCGAAAGGAACCAAGAACTGGGGGCCGAGCACGCTTTCCACCGAGACACAGCGAGCTCGAACCACATCCGACCAAGCCCGTTCTAGGACGGCCGCGACCGCCGGAGGAAGGCCCGACAGCGGAGGCGGGAGCACCGAGGGCGAGGGGGACGCCAACCGGACCGCACCAGGCAGCGACGGGCCAGGGGGAGGCGGTAGGGGACCCGACGACACGGCCGGCACCCGTGGGCGCAGGGCAAGGGTGGTGCGCGTCGGCGGCGAGTTGGAGGGGCTCCTCGGGCGAGTGCATCCACGGGAGGTGTGATTGCGCTCACCGCATCTGACGCACTTGATTGGGTTGGTGAAGTGCTTGGGGATGTGGCCATCGTCCTCGCCGCTGTTGTAGCAGCAACCATGCAGCGAAGCAGGGAGCCAAGAGCGCGGAGGGCGCGAGCAGAGCAAGCCCGCCTACCCAGGGCGGCGCCCAGGCGACCGGCGCTCCTTCCGGCCCCTGACGCGCTGCCACGGCGCCCATCTGAGTTCGGCATGGGGTCGGCCCGCGGTGGCGGAGGGACGACGATGAGGGAGCGCAGCCTGGGGGGTGGCGGCCTGCTGCGGGGGGGGGGGAGCGGAGCGGCCCCGTGGTGGAGGGGGGGGCACGGGCTGCCGGACAGGGAGCCGGAGAGCTAAATGCGTCTCGCCATGCCGGTCAGGGAAGGTGGCCGCCGGCGCTTACGCGGCGTGAGGTGGGAGCGCTAGGTGTGACGTGGGAGTGCTAGGTGTACCCTTAATTACTCCTGTGGAATCCGCGGTCTGCACTTAGAGATTTTCTTTTCATTAAAAAGAAAAAGAAAACTTAGAGATTTTCCTTGATTTTGTTCTTGAAATTTTGAGGTTAACTTTTAAGGGCCTATGCCATCAACTCACTCTAGGGCCCTCCAAAACATAGACCCGGCTCTGGCATTTTGTCGGATCTTAAGATCATTTACCGAAAAACAAAGGTGTGTCTTTTCCATGTATTATGGTGGTACAATGAATTGACATAGTTGTATGTTGAGAGAATTCAAATTAGTCAGGATCATCAATTGTTTGTTGAGAGAATTAGAATTAATAGGGATCATGGAGGTCGGCGATTTACAAGGAGCACCATCCTTTATTGCATTCATTCAAATCCTAATGATAGTACAGAAGGGATACATTATTGCATTTGCCACAGTGATAGAGCAAAGCATAATCTCTCTACATGGCAATATCTTATCTCTCGATCAATCTCTCTTAAGCAATAGGCACCAAGAATTGAAATAATCCAACGGCTGAGATCGCCTCAGCCACCCCCGTGATCGTGAATACGAGCATGCCGCCTAGACCCGAATCTCCAACGTCCACCGGTACATATCCTTCTCCGGGACCGGCACATCGACCGTGACGAGCCCATTCTCGGTGTTGTAGCCAAACTCCACGTCACCCGAGTCGAGGGAGCATTTCACCGGCCTCCGCGAGCAGTACGCGCCAAACCGGCCGCAGCCGCGCACCCTGAGCGCCACAGTGGCCTTGTCGTCCTCGTCCGTCTTGACGGTGCATTCTTCGACGGCGCCGCCGGCGTTGAACATGTGGAGCAGCCCGATGGGCGCGAAGGACACGTCCGGCGCCACGGTGCGGATGGGGCAGACGTGGAACAGCTCGTACTCGAGCCTCTTGAGCGTCACCGGCAGCGTGGCGCCCCGGGGCAGCCGCACGAGCTCCCCCGCCCGGTGCGCGTACACCACGGCGTCACCGCCCCTGTCGTCGGTGCCGGCGGCCTGAGCGATGCCCTCCACGTCCTCGGCGCGCACCGAGCCGGTGAGCGTCCCGGGCGCCTCGTCGTGGATCCTCGTCTTCTTGACGACGCGGCACCACCCCGCGCCCTGGCAGTTGAACACCCCCACCACGCCGGCGCACTTGTTCATGTTCCATATCTTGAGCAAGCTGAGAAAGAAAAGCAGGGGATCTCATGTCAGCGGCACTGAGATAGAATCTGGGAGAGTTTCATTCACGTCAGAGGGAGGATTTGAAGGATGATGGTGCTGACCTGGCACCATCGCGCGCCGGGTCGGAGAAGAGGCAGTCGCGCGTGGGCCTGCCGGGGAGCTGCGCGCGGAGCACGGAGCCGTCGGGGAGCACCAACTTCTTGAGAAGGTCGAAGTTGTGGTTCCCAGGCTTGTCGCTGACATAAATGGGGCAGCCGCCGATGGCCCTCGCCGCGCCGTGGTACTCCGCCGCCGGGTGCAGGCTCTGTATCATCAATTCATAATTACCATCCATCGGTCAGAAGTCAGAACAAACAGTAGAAAACAATTAATTAAACGTGAGAAAGAAAGAAAGAAAGAATTACATGGAACATGTCCCAGTCGGGCTGCATGAATTCGCCGAGGAAGAGCGTGTTGTATGCGACGGAGGAGATGTGGACGGTGTGCGACGCCGGGTCGCGCGGGTAGAAGTCGTCGGAGGCGCGCACGACGGCGGTCTGCTTGGCGCTGTAGAGCATGTCGGTGTTGTGGCACATGCAGGAGATGCAGCCGTTGTCCGGGAAGTTGCGGGCGACGGAGGCCTCTAGCGCGCGGTGGTAGGCGCGGGTGAGCGCGACGCGGCCGCCGTGGCCCGCGCCGAGGGTCTCCACGATGTTCTGCACGTCCACCTTGACGCCGTCGACGCCGCAGGCGGCCAGGTAGGCGTGGAGCTCGTCGTAGAAGTTGTAGACCTTGCGGGGGTGCACGAGGCCGAGGCCGAGCACGGAGAGCGAGTCCATGACGATGTCCGGCTGGTTGCCCGTGACGCCCGGCGACTGCACGGGGTACGCCAGCGCCGACTCGTAGTGCTCCATCCCGGCCGCCGACGGCTTGACGCCGCCCCAGTAGCCGGCCATGGCGTGCCAGACGTAGACGCTCTTGACGCCGTGCTCCTTCTTGGTCTCCTCCACCAGCCGCTTCAGCCCCGGGGTGTCGTCCTGGTCATGCTTGCTCTGGAACTTGGTGTTCTCCTTGATGCCGGTGAGCCTGCTCGCGAACTGCGCCCCTTCCTGGACAGCGACGCTGGGGTCCTCCTTGTTCTCGCTGCCGATCTGCTGCCAGCCGTCGTCAATGATGAGGAACCGAGGCGGCACGCCGCCCTCCGCCAGGCTGCGGAGCCCTTGCTTGACGCCGTCGGCCGTCACGTCCGTGTAGAAAGCGTCCCACGTGCACCACCCGAACCAGTCCACAAACGACGGCACCTGCGTACACCAATCCACAAGCACACAAGCCAATCAGATAAGCGCGGTAGACTTACAGCATCTACGGCCGCATACAGCAAGTACGGCCCATCAACCGTCTAAATCAATGACGAACAGGAGTACTGACCTTTTTCTTCTCCCTGTGGTGGAACGTCTGCATGTGCTTCTCAACGGCCCTGCATTCCAGATAAGGAACATTCTAACGTGTCAGTTTAGATTTTTATTCGAGTCGATAGACGGAGGAAGAAGAGGAGGACGTATGTACTTGACGGCCTGGGTGATGGTGTCGAAGGGGTTGGTGCCGGCGTGGACGTACACACTGTTCATGCCCTGCTCCGTCTGCACCGCTTTGTCCCCTGCTCTCACCAACACAACTGAATTCAGCAACGACCCCAGTGCAAACACAACCACACACTGATCTGGTAAAAAAGATCTCCTGATCATTACCGCTCTCGATGCAGATCTGGAGCTCGTCTTGGTCGTTGCCCTGGAGCACCGTGCGGAACTGCCCCTCCAGCAGCGGCAGCATCACCAGGTACACCGGCTCGCTGTCGCCGTCCGAGTCGTCGTCGTCGTTGCCGGCGGCGGCAGGGACCTCGATGAGGATGAATTGGGTCTCCAGCGGGACGTCGCGGCCGGAGGTGCCCATGCGCTGCGTCATCCACCACAGCTTGAACCGGAACAGGCACATGAATCGGCAATCGCTGCATCAACAAAATTTATAGCGAAATGTAATTAAGATGAGCCGAAATGTTGTGCCATTTTTCGGGGCAAACGACTACAGTGTCTCCTATTCTTCTTCACAGATGTACTCCCTCCGTTCCTAAATATTTGTCTTTTTAGAGATTTCAAATGGACACCACATACGGATGTATATAGACATATTTTAGAGCATAGATTCACTCATTTGGCTTCGTATGTAGTCACTTGTTGAAATCTCTAGAAAGACAAATATTTAGGAACGGAGGGAGTATTTTTTTAAAGAAATATATACTAGTAACAAAATTCCTAAAATAACTGGAGTATGATTTTTTTTAACAAATAAACTAATGAAAATTGGAACTACTCAGCATTCAGAAATCAACTTCCTATAAAATTTGATGCTAGTAGAGAAAAAGGGAACAGGAGAAAAAGAAAAAACTCAGAAATCCATGGTACATTCTGGAGTTTGGCCAGGTGTTCATCCACCTTCCCCACATTTATCCACCACTATCTCTTTATATCTCATCAGACACGGACAAAGAAACAGAACTCACCGGAGAGTTCCGAAGGTGAAGACGTGGTGGCTCTTGGCCTCGGCGGCCGTGGCGCCGACGAAGGCCCCGTCGACGAGCCCAGCCCCCGCAGCGTGCGCCGCGGCGATGTTGTCCGGCACGCCGGACAGCACCGTCCGGCCGCGCACCGCCAGCCTCCCGTCGCTCACCGTGATCTGCGGTGTCACCGTCATCTCCGACAGCCAAATTCAAAGGACCAACCCTTCTGCAGCACAAGAACAGCAAGCTGAGACGGCCGGCGTCAGGCTCCAGCGAACGACCAAAGCAAAATTCAGACGAATCACAGACAGAGATGCCGATCAATCAAGGATGACGCGTACCTTGCTTCGATACGGAACTATTAGTAGCGATACGAAGATGGTATGAGATAGAGTGATAGAGAGTGCTTTGCGTGCGGGTAATTGAAACTCAAACTAGTACCACTAATCTAATGATATAAAGATGGTGCGGTGCCCTCGCCGGAGAGGGGGATGAAGGGAGGGAGGAGGCGATGGGGAGAGGAGGGGTTTATATAGTCGGGAGGGAGGATGGGCGAGACGTGGCCGGTGACACGATACCCACACGCGGCCCATTCCCATTCGGGAAGAAGAAGCCAGTCGCTGGAGAATTCACATGTTTCTTCGACTCTCTGCGCGTAAAATTATGGCTTCTCCTGTGAGGTTTCCGTTTCTTTGTGTGGAAGATTGCATGCATGATGGAGTACAGCTGCTGGTGCGGAGGACCTGAGGTGTCCCCGTTCGATGTACGTATCTCTTTCTTACAAGAAAGTTAATTGTGTAAACTATGCTGCTTACTACGCCTGGATTGTTGCTTGTGTATTTCCTGTTGCCGGCCGAGCGGAACAAATGACAACATGCAGCGGTCTTGGTCTCGGAACCTTATCCCTCTCTTGGCTCCCGACATCCATATCTTTTTTTTGTGTGTGTGCTGCTCAAGCATTTCATTTTTCGTGTTCCAGATTTCCCACCGAAGATTGGCGCAATCATTCTCGGGCCAAGGACGCCTGAACAAAATAAGACAAGTAATATGGATCGGAGAGTACAAATATTTACACAATTGTCGCCTAAGAGAGTGCTTCGGGCACCATCCCTCTCTCCCCATTGTTTCACGAAAAAATTGAAATCGTAAGATCAACAAATCATTATTTGTTGACAATTATTGAGTTTATATTTATATACGTCATCTCATGAGGGTTCAAAGATTTTTTATTTGCATGTGTCACTCCAAGAACTGCTAATTTCGCCAGATCACAAAATAACCAAAAAATATTTAATCTTTCAACAAATTCATAGAGGAAAAAGAACATCAAGAAACAACGAAAAGTCTAGTGGAACAGGTGATTGGAAACAACGGCCAAAACGACAAAATGGAAATCTTGTCTCTTCTATGAAAATGAAATATCTCAAAAAGTTGTGAAAGCAACTGTGACTTTTGGTAAATATCATGAACAAATCAATAAAAGATGACCAAAGAAGAAAATCGTGTGGTAAAACCTACAAGGGATTCTCACGTGCTACAAAATGGTGTTTTTCATTCCTAAAAATGATGTAGATGTTTTACCACTCCGAAATCAAAATAATTGCTACATCTTTTCTTCTATAAATGAGTTGTACCCATGTATTAATCAAACATCAATATTACAAGAAATATCCAAAAAGAAATGGAAATACAATTCACTCCTCAGGTAATCCTTCATCCCGTACATGCTGAGGATGCGCCGAAGTTTGCTGCCAGTGGAGTTTTGCGCCATCACTGGAACAATAACGGTTTGTCCACGCAGGCGGCCGGTAAGTCACCGATCTCTGCCGAGAAGTCTCGACTACGTTGATCCTGAAGGATCCACGACCCAAAGAAGAAGATGGTGCTGAGCTGATCGCACCTATATGTCCGCCCGAGTTGACGAAATGCCAAAATCGACGCCACTGCAGTGAAAGCATCATTAGCCCAACAAATACACCCCCCTGTCGCAAGTATCAATGTGTTGGCCGCTGAGGGAAAGGAAAACATGTTCACCTAATCTCGTCAGCTAGATCCACGGTGCACGCACAACTGAAGTCGGAGGAGAACTTATTGCGCACGGCTGCTACCACCGGTTGAAGCGACAGGGATCCAGCATCTCACGTGTCATCAGAGAAGTAGAAGAAGCTGAAAAAGCTATTATTAGGCGCTGCCATCACCATCGCAGAAAGGGCGGAAGTGGCGGACAACAAAGACCGCACCAAAAATCCCCAAAATAAGGAACAAGCACCTCGGGCTCTCAGTTGTAGATGCACCCTACTCCCTTCTTCCATCTATATAGGGCCTAATGCGTTTTTCGAGGCTAACTTTGACCAAATGTTAGAGCAATAATATATGACATGCAACTTACACAAAGCACATCATCAAATACGTATGTGAAAGGAGCTTTCAATGATATAATTTTCACATTATGCATGTCATGTAGTATTAATTTTATCAATAGTCAAATGCGGTCTTGAAAAACGCATTAGGCCCTATATAGATGGAAGGAGGGAGTATATAAGGAAAATAGTACTCCCTCCTTCCATCTATATAGGGCCTAATGCGTTTTTCAAGACCGCATTTGACTATTGATAAAATTAATACTACATGACATGCATAATGTGAAAATTATATCATTGAAAGCTCCTTTCACATACGTATTTGATGATGTGCTTTGTGTAAGTTGCATGTCATATATTATTGCTCTAACATTTGGTCAAAGTTAGCCTCGAAAAACGCATTAGGCCCTATATAGATGGAAGGAGGGAGTAATTCGAAGAAAATAAAAAGAATTATTAAACTTTTGTTAAACAAATTTGACCATCTGCTTGTATTTGCATAAAAAAATTCACTAAGGAATGACTTTCCTGGTATTCTGGTGAGGGAAAAAAATTCAACACTATATACAAGCTAGTATTCACATTTTCTGTCCTCAAAATTTGATGTTCTTGCATTGAAGTCAACGGATTTTCGCCTAGAACAAGTACAATAGAATTACGCAGACGTACTATAATAGATGTCACGTCAGATTTTTACCTAGCTGAGGGGAAAAAAGAGGAGAGAGAGAAGAGAAGCAAACTGATAGCACATACTTCAGCACACTATGTGAGAGAAAAAATTGAACCACGACAAACTATTATATTAATAATTATTAGGTTGGCTACATATAACGTGATCATTTCGTATAGTCGGTTGTTGGTTATTAACCATGCTGTTACCCGCACTCTCCCGCCAACGGAGCCGACAGAAGAAGAGGAAGGTGACGATGGACCGGTGGGGAAGGTGTGGCGGCAGGAGAAACGTAATCGGCCTAGGTAGGCGGCGGCTGCGCAGGCTACGCTTTAACCGGCTGTCCTGTCCACCAGACCAGTAATCTGTATGTACTCCGATCGGGGACATTGTTTGGTTGCGCAAGTGACTACGGGATGAATGTCCAGATTCCACGGATGAACAACGGATTCTTACGTTGGAAGGCACACAAGCAAACGGTATTGCATTTCCGAGGCTCGTAGGCGCCGGTGTTGACTGATAGAATGCTGTTGTGTTGTTATCTGCGCATATTCGTAGTCCGTGGAGGCTATGGACGAGCGACCAATCCGATTAGTGACATATAAAACACATGCGTTTTATACCATGTTTTTGACGGGCAGGGTATCATGAAAAAATGCGCTACTTTTCTCGTCTCATAACATAATATAAGAGTGTTTCTGACACTATACTGTTAGACGGAGGGAGTACATAATATCATGTACTTTTAGTTATTGTTGAACTCGCATTAAAAAGTTAAGACTGTTCAATAAGCCGCTGCCGACCGGTTTCGATCTCCTCGACGTCGGGCGAAGGGTGAAGTGGGGAGGCCAAAATCACTGTTTTGACCTTGTCAAAAATCTTTAACACAAAATGACCTTTCTCAAAAATTATTTCACGATCTGATCCTTTCTGAAACGCCAAATCTCGTGACATTACTGACCAAAGTAGAAACGCTGAACTATTCAGCGTTGCTAGCTGCTCACGTGGCAAGTCAAAACGCCAACATGAGCCGCGTTGGTAGAAACGCCATACACATCACCACGCCAAAGGCTGTGGCGTTGGCATCAAGGAGAATATGGTTGTAGGAGGGCTGCTGCCTTGCCTTGCCGATAATGTTTGGCCATGGAAGAGGTTAGCATTGCTATTATTTTGTAGTCCATGTGCTAAATATATTAAATTAATCTCTTTCGGATTGTAGAATTTAATTAGGTACTAAAATAATGGTTCGTTTATTTCTCGGTGTTCCTGCGGGTGATGCGGTAGCCAGAGCAACTCCAACGCGGCGACCCATTTCGTCCGTCACCGTCGGTTTTGGGTCACCGCGGACAAAAGTGATGGCCCAACGCGCCGACCCATTTACGAAACGCGTCTGCTTCGTGTCCGCGTGGACCCATTTTCAGCCAAAATTTGTGCATAAATTATGTCAGCGCGGATACAAAGCGGACGCGTCAACGTGTCTTCTCGGTGTCCACGGCGTCCCCACATGGCAGCCTGTCAACTAACCCACGCTTCTTTATTAATGACGATCGCAAACCGCGGGCCCATCGTCACTGACGGCAGGCAGCCTTTTTTAATCCGAGTGTGCAAGAAGGGGAGGGGGCGCCCTCATCCTCTTCCAGCCTCCCGTCCCCATCTAGCCACCCTTCTGTTCCCCTGGGCTGGGTCCGGCACCGACGCTCATCGACCTCACCGCCCCCCACCACGACGACGAGGACACCTCGAGCAGCGCGTCTCCTCCTCGTTTTTAGTTTAATTAAATGTTTTTAATTAATGTGACGTGGATTTGTGGACTCTCGCCGGCCTTTCTGGCCGGCATTTATGTTTATTTAACATTTTAACTTCAAAATATTTGCATAATTTATTTTTTTGCGCGCGGATTCGAAAAATGGGTCCGACCAGCGATGGGCGCAAGCGCTGACCCAAACGCGAAAGCAGAAATGGGTGTTGCTCTCACGTACAAAAACCGCGAGAGGTTGACTGACCCAAACGGGCAAAAAGCGGGCAGAATCGCTGTCCTTTTGGGTTGGCTGGTTGGAGTTGCTCTCACGTATAGAAACGGCAAGAGGTCGGCATAGTATCTGCGAAACTCGGGCTTTTCATACCTGAAGGTCAAAGTCTACAATGGGTACTACATGTTGTGCCT